ATTGGGCATAATATGCCTTTTTTTAAATTTTCATAATTGTAAGGGGTTAACCTTGCATTTTTATTAAATTTCGGCAAAATATGACTTTTTGAAAAGTTTAAAAATTGTAAGGGGTTAACCTTGCATTTTCATTGAAATTGGGCATAATATGCCTTTTTTTTAATTTTCATAATTGTAAGGGGTTAACCTTGCATTTTAATCAAAATTCGGCAAAATATGACTATTTGAAAAGTTTAAAAATTGTAAGGGGTTAACCTTACATTTGCATTGGAATTGGGCAAAATATGCCTTTTTTTGAAATTTTCATAATTTCATCAAAATTCGGCAAAATATGACTTTTTGAAAAGTTTCAAAATTGTAAGGGGTTAACCTTGCATTTTCATTGAAATTGGGCAAAATATGCCTTTTTTTTGAAATTTTCATAATTGTAAGGGGTTAACCTTGCATTTTCATCAAAATTCGGCAAAATATGACTTTTTTGAAATTTTCATAATTGTAAGGGGCTAACCTTGCATTTTCATTGAAATTGGGCAAAATTTGACTTTTTTTTAAATTTTCATAATTGTAAGGGGTTAACCTTGCATTTTAATCAAAATTCGGCAAAATATGACTTTTTTGAAATTTTCATAATTGTAAGGGGTTAACCTTACATTTTCATCAAAATTCGGCAAAATATGACTTTTTTGAAAAGTTTTTAAATTGTGAGGGGTTAACCTTGCATTTTCATCAAAATTTGGCAAAATATGACTTTTTGAAAAGTTTAAAAATTGTAAGGGGTTAACCTTGCATTTTCATTGAAATTTGGCAAAATATGCCTTTTTTTGAAATTTTCATAATTGTAAGGGGTTAACCTTGCATTTTCATCAAAATTCGGCAAAATATGACTTTTTTGAAATTTTCATAATTGCAAGGGGTTAACCTTGCATTTTCATTGAAATTGGGCAAATTTGACTTTTTTTGAAATTTTCATAATTGTAAGGGGTTAACCTTGCATTTTCATCAAAATTCGGCAAAATATGACTTTTTGAAAAGTTTCGAAAGTGTAAGGGGTTAACCTTGCATTTCCATCAAAATTTGGCAAAATATGACTTTTTTGAAATTTTCATAATTGTAAGGGGTTAACCTTGCATTTTCATTGAAATTGGGAAAAATTTGACTTTTTTTGAAGTTTTCATTATTGTAAGGGTTAACCTTGCATTTTCATCAAAATTCGGCAAAATATGCCTTTTTTGAAATTTTCATAATTGTAAGGGGTTAACCTTGCATTTTCATCAAAATTCGGCAAAATATGACTTTTTTGAAAAGTTTTTCAATTGTAAGGGGTTAACCTTGCATTTTCATCAAAATTCGGCAAAATATGACTTTTTGAAAAGTTTAAAAATTGTAAGGGGTTAACCTTGCATTTTCATTGAAATTGGGCATAATATGCCTTTTTTTAAATTTTCATAATTGTAAGGGGTTAACCTTGCATTTTCATCAAAATTCGGCAAAATATGACTTTTTGAAAAGTTTCAAAATTGTAAGGGGTTAACCTTGCATTTTCATTGAAATTGGGCATAATATGCCTTTTTTTAAATTTTCATAATTGTAAGGGGTTAACCTTGCATTTTCATCAAAATTCGGCAAAATATGACTTTTTGAAAAGTTTGTCATTTGTAAGGGGTTAACCTTGCATTTTCATCAAAATTTCCCAAAATATGACTTTTTTGGAAAGTTTCATAATTGTAAGGGGTTAACCTTGCATTTTCATCAAAATTCGGCAAAGTATGACTTTTTGAAAAGTTTAAAAATTGTAAGGGGTTAACCTTGCATTTTCATTGAAATTGGGCAAAATATGACTTTTTTGGAAATTTTCATTAATGTAAGGGGTTAACCTTGCATTTTCATCAAAATTCTGCAAAATGTGGCTTTTTTGGAAAGTTTCAAAATTGTAAGGGGTGTACCTTGCATCTTTGTTGAAATTGGGCAAAATTTGAACTTTTTTTGAAATTTTCATCATTGTAAGGGGTTAACCTTGCATTTTCATCAAAATTTCCCAAAATGTGGCTTTTTTGAAATTTTCATAATTGTAAGGGGTGTACCTTGCATCCTTGTTGAAATTGGGCAAAATTTGAACTTTTTTTTAAATTTTCATAATTGTAAGGGGTTAACCTTGCATTTTCATCAAAATTTCCCAAAATGTGGCTTTTTTGAAATTTTCATAATTGTAAGGGGTTAACCTTGCATTTTCATTGAAATTGGGTAAAATTTGACTTCTTTTGAAATTTTCATATTTGTAAGGGGTTAACCTTGCATTTTCATCAAAATTTCCTAAAATGTGGCTTTTTTGAAATTTTCATAATTGTAAGGGGTTAACCTTGCATTTTCATTGAAATTGGGCATAATATGCCTTTTTTTGAAATTTTCATAATTGTAAGGGGTTAACCTTGCATTTTCATCAAAATTCGGCAAAATATGACTATTTGAAAAGTTTAAAAATTGTAAGGGGTTAACCTTACATTTGCATTGGAATTGGGCAAAATATGCCTTTTTTTGAAATTTTCATAATTTCATCAAAATTCGGCAAAATATGACTTTTTGAAAAGTTTCAAAATTGTAAGGGGTTAACCTTGCATTTTCATTGAAATTGGGCAAAATATGCCTTTTTTTGAAATTTTCATAATTGTAAGGGGTTAACCTTGCATTTTCATCAAAATTCGGCAAAATATGACTTTTTGAAAAGTTTCAAAAGTGTAAGGGGTTAACCTTGCATTTCCATCAAAATTTGGCAAAATATGACTTTTTGAAATTTTCATAATTGTAAGGGATTAACCTTGCATTTTCATTGAAATTGGGCAAAATATGACTTTTTTTGAAAAGTTTACAAATTGTAAGGGGTTAACCTTGCATTTTCATTGAAATTGGGCATAATATGCCTTTTTTTTAATTTTCATAATTGTAAGGGGTTAACCTTGCATTTTCATCAAAATTCGGCAAAATATGACTTTTTGAAAAGTTTAAAAATTGTAAGGGGTTAACCTTGCATTTTCATTGATATTGGGCATAATATGCCTTTTCATTGAAATTGGGCAAATTTGACTTTTTTTGAAATTTTCATAATTGTAAGGGGTTAACCTTGCATTTTCATCAAAATTCGGCAAAATATGACTTTTTGAAAAGTTTCGAAAGTGTAAGGGGTTAACCTTGCATTTCCATCAAAATTTGGCAAAATATGACTTTTTTGAAATTTTCATAATTGTAAGGGGTTAACCTTGCATTTTCATCAAAATTTCCTAAAATGTGGCTTTTTTGAAATTTTCATAATTGTAAGGGGTTAACCTTGCATTTTCATTGAAATTGGGCATAATATGCCTTTTTTTGAAATTTTCATAATTGTAAGGGGTTAACCTTGCATTTTCATCAAAATTCGGCAAAATATGCCTTTTTTGAAATTTTCATAATTGTAAGGGGTTAACCTTGCATTTTCATCAAAATTCGGCAAAATATGACTTTTTGAAAAGTTTCAAAATTGTAAGGGGTTAACCTTGCATTTTCATTGAAATTCGGCAAAATATGACTTTTTGAAAAGTTTCAAAATTGTAAGGGGTTAACCTTGCATTTTCATTTAAATTCGGCAAAATTTGTCTTTTTGGAAAGTTTGAACTTGTTAGGGGTTAACCTTGCATTTTCATCAGAATTTCACCTTTTTGGCAAGTTTGGCTTTTTCTTCAGTAGGACGACATATTTCACAGCCGTATGTAAAATTCACGATGAAAACAAAAATAAGCAGCATTGTTGCATTATTCATTGTTAAACATATTTTGTATTTATTCTCAAGTTTGCATTTCTAAATATGAATTTGGACGATAAAATTATGGGACTATTAAATCAGAATGATACTTGCATTTGTTTGGGTAAAATGTGAATCCGGAATAAGCACTTATTTCCTTCTTCTTTTACATTGGAAGAATTGTATTTTTGCCCCGAAACGAAAATCAAAATTGGTCTCTACAATGTTTTACAAGAAACGTTTAGCTGAAAAATGAATGGAGGGGGGACGACAGATTAAACCTAATTTTTTTTTGGGGGGGGGGGTCCTGAAATAAATATAGAGTTGGGAGCAAACACCAAATCCACTGGCATCCAGGACAAATATTTAATAGAAATTAATGTTCCCTCAGTTTCTGATGCTTGCATTGTAGCCTTTTTGAAGACGTGCCTTCAATAACCAAATTAAAACTCTTTGGCACATAATTTGTACTTACGAACATCGAAAAGTATTTAAAAAGAAATTTAGGTACATGTAAAATTTTATATACAATATTACATACGACACGTACATAGAGATAGCACAGTATTGGGGCCAGTTTCATCACGGCATTGCTAAGCACATTATTGTTTTCTCCCATAACAGAGCCTTCATCTTGGTAGTTGGCGTTGGGTTACATAATCACAAGCATTACGTGTCTTCGTTTACAATTGATTACACGAAGAACGCTGACCAGCGGCCCGTATAACCTGCATGCAAAACAGCCACAAATATTGTGGACATTAAGCAGAAAATAAATTCACTTGCTACATCACTGGACAAAATTTCAATAAAATTTTTTTCAAGTTGTTCAACAAGTACAGCCACATGTATTAAACCCTCCTAGTGGGAAGTCAACATTCAGAGCAATTTGTAAAACCCTTTAAAACACTGCAGGTCAGTTTCAGGTGAAGGGATATGAAGTGTTAAAGTAACTGTGTCACACAGAGAGTCACTGAACAAAAAACAGCACTGTGGAGAGCAGTGAAGCGTGACTGAATCTGCCTACTTGCCCGCAGCTTAACCACACACAAAAAATTGTGCAGGGATTTGAAGTGTTATCCATACTCCACAGAAGATTACCTCAAAGGAATTTGGCGTGCGGGTTCTAACTCTGTGGGCAAAAGCTGTTTTGCAAGTCTTGAAGGGTTGTGAAGTGCAGAAGACTAGGAGGGTTAAAGAAGGCATCTTATATCAAGACAATATGTTTTTTCTCAAAATGTTGGTGACGCTGATGAAGGATACTCTGGCATCTGTGTGGCATCATCACTGTCTTCCGTGTTCCATCGCTGAGGGCTAGAGCCATCCCAGGAGGCGGGGCTCCCCTGCAAGGGGGAGGAGCCGTACGGCGGGGGCCTGTCACTCAGGTCCATAGAGTTCCTCTCTCTGCTCTTTGCAGGGGAGCTCCGTAACTCCGCCTCTTTGGCTTTGTCCCATGAGTGGGCTCTTGCAGACCGTGGACCATCCTGTTCTGCCGGCCTCAGCTCCTCCCCAAGACTTGTGGTCTTCTGGATGGACTTCTTCATGTCCTTGAAGAGTCCCGCGAAAGGGTCCTTGCTAGAGCCTTCCGGGGACACCACGGCCAATTTCGGTGTTGCATCCTTGGCGATGCTGGAGGCACCGCTCGAGGAGGTAGCACTGGAGCGACCCGCCGGCCGGCTGGGCGGGACTGATGCAGCCTGGGCTGGCCTAGCTTGGGCGGGTTTGGGCGGGTTGGAGAAAGTTGGGGCCAAGGAGGGCTTGAGAGGCTCTTTTTGGCGAGTCGGGGGAGGTTTGGGATGATGAACGACGGCCTTGGCTAGCACTAGAGTATCTACATCCATACTTGCTGCTGGAGATTCTGAAATGGGGAAAATGTAAAAAGGTTGACACAAGTATAGACACTATGCAGGCAATGCTGGCATTCTATTCCATAAATTTAGTGGACCGAGGCACACTGATTCAACCTAAGCAAGAAAAAACGTAAAAATCACTTTTCAAACCTGGTCTTGCAGTGGCCGTCCTAGCCTGCTGTTCCAACCTCTTTTGTGCCTCCCTCCGTTCTTTCTTCTCCCTCTGTAACTCCCTGACCTCCTCTATTTCAGTCTGCAGCAGTTGCTCGCTTGTGCCTAGCTTATTTTTAAGAATCTGAAAATGATGAAGACGTAAAGTTCGATGAGGCAAGGAATTGTTGTTCTCATTTTATTTTTTTGTTTCCTTTACTCTACATGCTTTCCAAAATCCAGTGATGAGTTTTTGGCTAGTATGCATGTCGCATAGATTGGGATGTACTGTTCTAGTAAAATGTCAAACTTTCAAATGTAAAGTGGTGTTAAGTATTCAACAGGCATAAAACTTTTCCTAATGAGACAAGGGCGAAGTACTTATTCATGTTCCAACCCTATTTGCTCCTGGTTGAAAGAAAAAAAACTTGTTTTCTTTCAATTTTTTGCTCTGCTTGAAAGAAAGTGGTAAAAACTTTGTTCCCTGTAATTAATTTTCTTACTTTATTGTCTAGCATTAACACTGTACCTAGTGTGTCATGTGCCAATCCTAAATAACATCCATGTCAACTAATAACAGAGGATTCAGGCTAAAAATGTTAAAAGACGTTCGGGGGAAAAATGATTTTGGCAAACCTGCATTTTGGAATACACGGAATCGTTGATATCACGAATGACACGCACACCATGGAGACTGTCAGCAGTACGTCCCCTGAACAGACAAAATGTAAGTTTGTGTTTATCAAAGAGTACACGTCACAGACACCAGCTATATAAACAAAATTAAAATTTCAGTAAGATTTGAGATTTTGCATGGTGGAGATACTAAATAATGAAAGGTTTGCGGAAACACTATGTGCGAATAATTTCTCAACTAAGAGAATGGTTCTGAAAAGAACCAGAGGTATAAACTCTTTTATAGAGTTTATACCTCTGGTTCTTTTCAGAACCATTCTCTTAGTTGAGAAATTATTCGCACATAGTGTTTCCGCAAACCTTTCATTATTTAAAATGAAAATTTCCTTTAATTTAGTCCACACTACTCCAAGGAGGGGCCTCATAGCCGAGCGGTTAGAGAGTGGAGCTACGGAGTGGAAGGTTGGCGGTTCGAATCCCATTCGGACCAAAAACTGGAAAACTGTCTCTGACGACCCAACAGTAAAGTGGGTACCTGATTCGTTCAGGAAAGGTAAGACGGCGAGAGGAGAGGACTGGGCACCGCCACTCATATGCCGCGCCAAGACACAGTGGACCTCTAACATCCCACTGCCCCTACGGCCAGTAATGGCTATGGGACCTTTACCTTCACCTAACTCACTGAAAAGGATCATTTGCATTTATCCCAAAAGTAACCTAATGAATTATCATAAAAAAGGAATAAAGATCGTACCGGTACTCAACAGTATGACAAAAGTTAATCCATGAATTTGGGTAAATAAGGAAAAAAACCTAAATAAGGAAAAAAACCTAAATAAGGAAAACAACCTAAACAAGGGGAAGTGTTGCCTTGTGGTTAGGGTTTGTGACTCATGATCAGAGGGTCCGGGGTTCGAATCCAGCTGCTGGCCATATGTTGTGTCCTTGGGCAAGGCACTTCACCCCACTTGCTTCTCTCCATCCAGGAGTATAAATGGGTACCGGCATTAGCTGGGCTGACATCCCATCCGTTGGGGATAAAATAGAAATATTTTAAGTCGTGCCAAGAAAACTCGAGAAGGACACCAGTCTGATGAGCCATTTCAGCTCGGGGCAGACTTTACTTACATATGGGATCATTTGCTGTTCATGCATTTTGTTCATTTCCAATAAAAACACCACTCGCACTTCAAACAAGAATGTTCAAAACCAAACCTGTTGAACTTTCAGCTCAGTGGATTTTGAAATTTTCAAGAAAACAGTGAAAAATCATGCACAACCTTTTGATCACGAAACACGATTTCGTCCATAGCACTCTTTATTTCCAAAAATCAGTCAACTGACTGATTGTTGGAAATCCCCGACATTTCTTGATTTCTTCGAAATGACAGCAAGCTAGACGGAACGATTTCATGGGGTGTTAGTACCAGTATGATCTTTAATCCAAGAATGCTTTGTGATAATAAATTGGTAGGCTACTTTTGGGATAAATGCAACTGATCTTATGTGCCTTTAACTCAATGAAAACCTGACCAGACTTTATCATGGCCTAACAGTCAAACCTCACACATCAGTGCTGGAGGGTATCATCCCCTTTTTCCCACTGCGTACCTGAAGTCCGTGAGTATCCTGGAGTAGGTGCCCTGGACTGTGGCTACTGTACCTGCACTGCCAGACGCCCTATACTCTGAATGGCCTGTGTCTCCTAGATTGATAATGTTTGCCCCTAACCGAGTCAGACCCCTGGATCAAGAGGGGAAAAAAATGCATTATGTCAAATTTACATATCTTCAATTGTCTACAAATTTTCTGCCTTCGTATTTATTTCCCTTCCTTTTTTCAAATGATGTCACGCACAAAAATGAATATCTTCCTGAATGTTTTCTGGACTTCCATGTGAGACTGGAAATGAGACATGCACTCTTTTTCTGCCCTGCAGTTTCAAGAGGTGTGGTAACAAGTTGAAAAAAATAGGGGTGTTTTAATTTCAACATTTGGGCAGATTTTATACCTTTGCTTTTATTGTGTAAGGCCAAAAAAAAAAGGTCTCCGGTTTCTGGTATGCGTGCGCGTCGCCATGCGCATCGGCAAAAAAAAAAGAAGAAAAAAAAAGCCGCGTCGCTGCACCACTTTTGGGGCAAGCTCCATACCAGAAACCGGAGACTTTTTTTTTTTGCCTAATGGCTTTGTGATAGGTACACTTAAAGATATAGTCCATCATTTGTAATTTGTGCATTTTGTTCGTTTGAAGCAACAAAAGTGTTCAAAATCTAAGGAAGGATACTGAACAACTAACCCGATGAAGTTTCACCTCAGCTTCAGCTGTATATTCCGAGAAAAATAGCATTCTAGGATCTCGATTTCAAATCAAAAGTTGCTGAATCATGTTTTGAATTGGGCCTGAATTCAGCGTCCGAGACACGTTCTTACTGAGCCGATTGCAGCTTTACGCGATGTCACGCACTGATCCGACAAATTATAGCAACCGCGTGTGCGTCGTGCCAATGCTTGCGCGCGCTTTGCCGAATAACAAAACGAACTACTAATTTAAATGTTCCTACGGTGCGTCTTAAGACGCACCGTTGGAAAGGCCTTCTTTCGTTGATTACTTCAAAATGACAGCTTGCCAGAAAGAATAATTTCACAGGGAGTTTAGTCCCCTTACTATCTTTCAACCAAGTATGTTTTTCAACAATAATTATGCCAGTTACTTTCCGGATGGCTGCAAATGATGGACTATAGCTTTAAAATAAAAAAGCCAATTGGCACAGTTTACAAGCAGAAGCGGTGACGCTCGACTCCGCTCCACTCTAATTCACCTTAACCCCCATTTTTGCAGTTTGCTTGGAATCTTTCTGAACTTTGTAAAAATGATCTACCTCTGCACAAGAATCCATCGGTATATACTCTGTACTGAAAACTCTTTAAAACACCAAGTCTCATGTGAACATTCGTCAATGTACATTCTCTATTTCTACAAAATCTTAAAAAGATCTTGGAGACTAAGGCTTAAGCGACACTACCACAAATTCATGGTTTGTCTTCAGAACATTGAACTGTAGGCCAACCTGTTCCCAAGAGTGAGTAGTTGATGGTTGAAGAAGTGCGTAGCTTGATTCCATGCCATTCCTGAGGTGAACAGACCGAGGAGGAAGAGGTCGGGGGTGTCGGTGTGGAAGAGATTCAACAGCTCACGGTGCAGTGTGGTCTCTCGCATGGACGGGTCCAACATGGTGTTCCGACGGAAACGATACCAGCCTATAATGTGCTGCAGGGGTAATGGGGGATGGGGAATACAAGTATTATTAATTACTACACCTCATAAATATTCATGATCAAATTGGAGCATTGGCCAATTCCGCTGCACATCCAGGAAGTAAAAATGATACGCGCCCAGATGATGTCATCCCGGTGAGTATCCAGCTTGCTGCCGTGGGGTAGTTTTTTCCTGGTAGCACCAAAAAATTCCCTCTGGAACCCGCCTCTAGAACTTGTAGTCTGTGGCATGAAATCTTTACGGAACCAGTCTGTTGTTGTAGTCCCTGACCCTCATGCAAAACGCGCACATTCAGAATAAAATAATCAATCGTACTTCGCACTACATGTACGTGAACCAGTATGCGCAAACGGGGTGTCCCAATCACTGGGTTCTCGAAAGTGGTAACACTACACCCTCTCTTTTTTTGTGCACACAGACCACACTGATGAGAAGCTAGATGGTGTACTCCAAGAACTTAACATTTGATTGTGGTAACAGAGTACAAATGTAGTTGGATAAAAACGAAAGCTAAAACATGACCAATTATCTGCAAATGGACTCAGACTTGACTATGGGTCTTATGTCCTTGACAGATGTGACAGCTTTGTTTTGACATCATGCTTGCATGTTTGAAGATCGCATGAATTAGCGAACACAAAAAACCTAGAAATTTGTATTTCTACCTTGTAGTTGTCTTTGAGCATGGACAGGAGTTTCACTTGGTCCACACGCCCCCTGCGATCATAGAAACTGGCATGAACAAAATAAGGAAACAAATATGAATATAATATATAAATGAATATGTAAATTAATGAACAGAAGTACAAGACCTTATCCAAATGATGAAGAAACCTGTCCCTATTGTGAAGCAAGGTAATTCGTTTGAACTGTGTTGATTATGCACTGACATCACATACTCACAGTTCTTACTTGTAAGCACCTGTTTCCAGTTCGTAATGTATCAGTATTGTAAATGGGTTCATCCATTAATCTTGCCATGGTTTTAGACACTAAGTAAATCCAAAATCAATTTACAAGTCCAGTCACAGGTCACCATGGATCAATAACAATAACAGATGAATATTTCTTCTCAGTGAATTTGAATAGCTTCTGACGTGACTTGACTTACTATGGACTTGTGATGGCCTTGTTAGGACTTGTGATGGGCACAACTACAAAACAAAGTCATCTATCCACTTGGATCTAAACTGGCATGTTTACTTTGAAAATTGAGATTAAAATTGTGTGGTTTTTTTTAAACGACACTTACCTGAAAGGCTCATCACATGCGTAGTGGGAGTAAATATCTATTGGCAAAATAAAGAGAAGAATGAAAATCAGAGCAACAGTTCAGGAAACTTGCTTCACATCTTGTTTCAGGTGAAGTATGAGAGTATACATCGCTGGGAAGAATCCCCCAGTCCAAAATCCAAGCATATGGACAACTTACACTGTTCTTATATTGAAAGCAAACATCAGAATCTTAACCCTAACTCCCTAGGCCTTTTTACTAGGATGTAGCCTCAATCCTGCAAAATCCTCCAATTGGCCTCATGGAAAACCAGCATATAGCCTCAATCCTGCAAATTCCTCCATTATTTCTTGAGTATGGTCCATGGAGGGGTGACCACTGCCTGAATCCTGCAAAATCCTGCGGCAGTGACTGTAAATATGCTGAGGCTTGGCAAGTGACATCCTGGAGCAGTACGGAGGATTTGAAGCATAATCCAGGCCTATATTTATGCATGGCTGAGCAAAAACAACACAAGGTCCGGCCCAAGACCTTGACAAAGTGCATCTTACAAAATCAGTAATGCACTTGTAACCTCAATCCTCCAAAGTCCTCCACTTTGGCAAAGTGGATTTTGAGGGCGGTTAGGGTTAAAGACTGATCCAATAAGCCTCTCCCAAAGCACACATGTGTAACTACAAATGCCCCATCCAATACCCATTGTGCTCTAACCGTGCGCATCAGATGTACGTATCTGCATGCCAGACTTTCGGCTTCACTGATTAGTCTATTCAAAGTTAGCTGGAGCTACCCAGCCCTGAGTTTTATCATTGGGTTGTCATCTAGGGCTGGAGCGCATTTTTCTCAAAACTTGTAGTATTTGCAAAAAAAATTTGGAAAATGTTCAATTTTGTCCCCGTTACACACTAATTGCAACTGCAACTCACCCCAAACTTGCCTGGAATAACCATTACACAGGTCCTTGAAGTAAAAAACGATCCACGATGAAGATTCAGCCTACAATTGCAGTGAAAACAGGAGGAATAACCGCTAACTTGACAACCTTGCTGGATTGGCCAGGACCGCTATTGGTTTGTGCACAAAAAAAATTGTGTACAATGAATGGCGGTCGATTAACAGGCACAGAGAGCGATCGCTGTCAACTACTCGGTTTCGCCGGCTGCGCTGGCTGTTGGCGCATCACAGCTTTGGTACTGGAACCGCAACCAATAGTGCATGAAACAGTCATCGGGTGTTACGCTTCCGCGTGACGTCACGCGCCAACAGCCAGCGCAGCCGGCAAAAACGAGTAGTTGACAGCGATCGCTCTCTGTGCCTGTTAATCGACCGCCATTCATTGTACACAATTTTTTTTGTGCACAAACCAAAAGCGGTCCTGGCCAATCCAGCAAGGTTGTCAAGTTAGCGGTTATTCCTCCTGTTTTCACTGCAATTGTAGGCTGAATCTTCATCGTGGATCGTTTTTTACTTCAAGGACCTGTGTAATGGTTATTCCAGGCAAGTTTGGGGTGAGTTGCAGTTGCAATTAGTGTGTAACGGGGACAAAATTGAACATTTTCCAAATTTTTTTTGCAAATACTACAAGTTTTGAGAAAAATGCGCTCCAGCCCTAGATGACAACCCAATGATAAAACTCAGGGCTGGGTAACTCCAGCTAACAACCCAATGATAAAACTCAGGGCTGGGTAACTCCAGCTAATTCAAAGTATGGTGCTGAAAAAAACTTACTGATTGAAATTTGTTCTATCTTTCTGGTAATCTGGGAGTCGCTGATGTCTTCGTTTGTATGCCTCCTGATCTCCCCAAACAAGAAACCCTCCTGTCATGAAAAGAAACCGAGCAAATATTAGAAAAAAATGTTGCAACCTGACGCCACTTCAGCGGGTTGTGTACTGTTTCATGCACTAATATAAAGTTTACCACTCGCATCACAGCTTTGGTACTGGAACCGCAACCAATAGTGCATGAAACAGTCATCGGGTGTTACGCTTCTGCGTGACGTCATGCGCCAACAGCCAGCGCAGCCGGCAAAAACGAGTAGTTGACAGCGATCGCTCTCTGTGCCTGTTATTCGACCGCCATTCATTGTACACAATTTTTTTGTGCACAAACCAATTGCAGTCCTGGCCATGCCTGAAAGGTTGTCAGGTTAGCGGTTATTCCTCCTGTTTTCACTGCAATTGTAGGCTGAATCTTCATCGTGGATCGTTTTTTACTTCAAGGACCTGTGTAATGGTTATTCCAGGCAAGTTTGGGGTGAGTTGCAGTTGCAATTAGTGTGTAACGGGGACAAAATTGAACATTTTCCAAATTTTTTTGCCTATACTACAAGTTACGAGAAAAACTCGCTCCAGCCCTAGATGACAACCCAATGATAAAACTCAGGGCTGGGTAACTCCAGCTAACTTTAACTGTAATGTGTGCGCACATCCATCATTCCATGAGGGCGCTGTACAATGTGCCGGCTTAAAGAATCAGAAAAAATGCACGTCCGGTTCACAGTTATGTAAAGACTTCGTAAAATTTCTGCAAACCGATAAAGTGGCGTCTGAATTTTACATTTTCCCCACATTCAGTCTGCTCGAAAAAAAGGGGGAGGGTGTCAAGGGAAAACTTTGTCCGGAAATTGGACACACACAGTTATGGCCATGCAACGAGATCTGTCCGTGACACACAATAACACAAAGCCGTAATCTTCTCTGTTTTTAATGTAACTGTTGTGCCCATTCTTGAAAATCACGCATTCTCGAGAATGGGCATGCACATTCTTGAGAATGTGCAACTGGATCCTTGCTCAATCTTGGCAAAAAATAACTCTTCCAGATTGAGCGCACATTCTCGAGAATGCGCGACAAGATAACGGTCTTGTCGATGCCGAGCACCGGCTGCGCTTGGCAAGTCTAGCTGAATCCTCGTTCACTGATTCTCAATAATTATACTGTTGCAACGCAAGGCTCTGAAAAGTAGAGTGGATATGATAAGTAAAGGCGTATTAATATGGGGGGGGGGGGACCGGGAAATTATAAGAGACATAATAATACTAGTGCAAAGAATTCTGATTTTTGGGATAATAAAAGCAAGGGGGGGGGGGACGTAAGAATGAAGAATGTGAAGAATGAGAATGAATACTGCGACATCCCATAGTGCTAATGCTATTTCCCATTTAAATTGCCACCAATTTATTGTTCACATCCCACCATAACGTCGCAGAGCTGGATTCTATCTAGTCAAAAGAGCAATTTTGGCAGCTTCTGGACATCGTTTTTTTTTTGTGTGGCACGCATATGATACATGCAGGGACTTGTAACTTGTCTAGCCTAAACAAAGCACTTCCCAGACTAGTTCCCAGTCCTCCGTTATTACAAAACTTCCCATAGTGGGCAGAAAAAAGCAATAATAACAGGTTTAATTTGATTCAAATTATCGTAATTATACGAGTACAGAAGCATAGCACATTTTCTTTCCTCTTTATATGAATTGTTTCCCTTTTAACCGCTATACAATTCATTTAAAATAATTATGTCGTGCAATGTTTGTTAAGATTGGGCAAAATTCATAAATTGTGCACGTGATATTCCCAACCAATCTTAAGAATGAGCGCTCATTCTTAAGAACGCGTGCTCGTTCTTAAGAATGGGCGCTCATTCTTAGAATGCGCGCCCATTCTCGAGAATGTGCATGCCCATTTTCGAGAATGCGTGATTTTCAAGAATGGGCACAACATAACAACACTCTTTTTACAAACCTGGTCACCCATACTACTGGCATGGTCGAGGAAGAGCGAACTCCAAACGCAGCCGCTAACGTTGACGTTCAAGTTCCTGGATGCCGCCATGTTGAAAAAAACTTCCGTTTCCTGGTCTTGTTCCCTGAACGCCTTGCAGAAATGTTCACTACGAAAGCGTGGTAGTCGGAGACCAAGGACATATAGCAGCCAGCCAGCGCGCTCCCCCGCGCGAACAGTGCTGAATTTGAACGTCTGCTTTGCCGGCGTCGTATCCTTTTTTTTTCTTAAACTAATATTAATTTCAATAATTAAGATCGATGTTCAAATACAAAGCATCATACTTGTTGAAATGAAATAAATTTTGTTTGATTAGATTAACTGCTAACTAGGGGTGTAAAAATAAAGACGAGTGAAACGTGAAGAAAGATTGGCAGCTTCCACAGAGCGCCCTCAATGTGGGTGGGGGGGGGGGGGGCGGGGCGGGGCGGGGGAGGCCATGTGCAAGCCCCACTTCTCCCCTCCCCCTTCCCCTTTTATATCTTGCTGGAGACATTGAGTATTGGAAAAGCGTGCCAGAGTTTTCAGCGGTTGTGTGTAATGCGCCTATCAAATGTTTCCCCCACCCCGCGCTGCCCCAGGTCCGATGTTTGGTCACGTTTTTCATGCCCCAGGGTGGGGATTTTGGTCACTCAAATTACATTGTTAACGTTGGCGTACTAATGCCATTGGAAATGCAAATCACTAGAAATGCAAATCACACGTATGTAAGTCGGGGCATGGTCGCGGAGATTGTCACTTTAAATTTTGCCTGAGGGGTGGGGATTTTGTCACTTCAAAAGTGACAATCCCCACGTCTTGGGTGGGGCAGCCCGGGAGGGGAGGGGTGGGGGAAACAATTGATGGGCGCATAAAGTCAATAATGGAGAGTCGAGAAAATTTAAGTATTTCCTAATGCGCCTATCAAATGTTTTTTATATACACTGAAGTAGTAAAAATAGTTTTGAGTACATTTGGATAAGTGGGAGATAACCCAATTATTTAAAATGTCGATAAAAAAATGGACTGGGATTTTTTAAAACCTTTTAGTTATAGCAGGTAACAGCAAAACTTTATTGTTTGATGTTAAGACAACTTAAAAGAGTTCAAGCTCATGCAAATTTTTATAAACAGTTATGTGTGTATTCATACAGCTAGCTTGATGGACTCAGATTGTTTCTTGTGTCTCCTAATTACAAGAATTTCCCTTGACTTCTATACGAATGATAGACATTCTGTAAAAGATGAACAGAATACTGGAGGCTATTAAGAGATGCATATGTCTTCTGCCCAGAAAGTATGCCGATAACATGAACTCCTGTACTGCTGATTTTATTGTACCATGTGGCCGTCCATGAAAAGACTCTGGCCTTTTGTGTGAAAAAGGCCTTATCAACACCAAACCTTGCACAGATTCAACTCATCTTTTAAAAAACTGGACTTGTACTATGAGCTGTTTGCCACTTTGCCGCCGTGTGCTTGCTTCTGTCACGGTAGAGCCGCTCGCAGCACTGACGCTGATTGCCGTGTTCTTTCTTCTCCAGGGAGAGCAGCAGTTTTTCTACTACAAACTTTGCATGATCAACTACAACTCCACCGGTCTGTGCAGCAATCTCAGCGCTCATCCTGAGGAAGAGGACAGGATCCAGACGGAGACATCCCGCTGGACGTTGTACGCAGACATCCTCTGTTACGGGCTGTCGGCAATCTCCTTGCTGATCTTGGGTGCGTGGTCCGATCGCGTCGGCCGAAAGCCACCCCTGATCCTGGTCTGCATCAGTGGAGTCATTCTCGGTGCTGTGTTGCTTGTCTCGGCCATCTGGATCCAGCTCCCGATGCCGTTCATGCTGGTGGGCTGGGCTTGCTTTGGCATATGCGGAAGTCAGGGTATCCTGTTGAGCTCCACGCTCAGTTACATCGCCGACATCACCAGCGTTGAGAATCGAATGATGCGCATGGGAATCCTCCAGGGTGTCATTTGCTTCTCCGCCGTGACCGGCGTGGCTACAGCTGGCCTGCTTGCCAACAGTCATTTGTTCCCACTTCTTTTCGTTCTCTTCACTCTGTTGTTCCTTCTTGCGATACTGTACATCATCTTCTGCTTAAAAGAAACGCGCGGACTGAGTCCTGTTAGTGAAAGGAAGACATCCCAGTCTTCTGACAAGGAGACAGATGCCTTGATCCGAGAGACGGATTTAGGCTGGAACCTCAGGCCAGGTGCCACGGGAGAAAGAGCCCACCAGCAGATGCGGTGAACTCTTCCAACGTGAAACCTTGATCGCATCGTTTGTTGTGTGTGGCCGGAAGCGGCCCGGTCACGGGAGATTAATTCTTATCCTGCTGTTGATCTGCTTTTTCCTCCTGTACTTGACGTATTACGGTGAGTATTACATATCTTTAACCATCATAGTGGGAACGGGAAAGTCAATATTATATTGATATGAAGTAACTGTGTCACACAGACAGTCACTGCACACACACAAAAACCAACACTGTCAGTCTATTCTTCGGTTTTGGAGAATTTTGTCACTTTCGGTTTTCTCTCATCATCAGGTCACATAACGTCACTGCTTTTTGTTCACAGGCTTTATGACTGTTTTGGTACTCTATGCGCTTAAGGCGCCCATAGAGTGGAGTCCCTTCATGATCGGTGAGTAAAGCAGATCACCTTGTCTCTTTCCTGTTGTGGTCATAGGGTTTTAGGTGTGTCCTGCAGCCGATTTCACAAAAACTTTACACAATGGTAGCCTATAACTCCCCTTGCATCACAATTGATTGCGTAAGTTGTGCAACCTTTCATGCTGCGCAACATTTCAGTTTTGACACATTTCACGAAAGTTTGATAGTGCCCAAGTCCGCGACTTGCGCAGCAAATTGTGGCGTAACTTTTGCAATCATTTTAGGTGGCGTTGGTTGTGGCGTAGCGACTGAAAATGAACTGTTTTACCAGTAAATTGTGATTGTCATGGAGCCTGTCATTGCACAACCCATCAAGGTTGATACAAGACGCTCACAACTTTGATTTTGAGGTGAATCAATTGCTATTTTACTGGTGACATAATTTTTAGAGTTGCTGCACAATTCTGAAGAAAAAAAAAACATCATTCAGTAGTGTTGTTGGATACAGGGAACATGGCTGAAATGGTGGCAGCATGATAAAGGTCTATTATTTACTTCCACCTTTGCAGGCATCTGCACTGCCACTGCAGGGCTGGCTAATGGTGTGTTACTGCTGACCGTCTTCCCAGTAGCCAGGCTGGCTGGGATTGACACCCGAGCCATCGCTGGTGTCTCTCTCGTGCTGCTCTGCATCGGCCCCGGTGTCATTGGGTTTGCTAGATCAACTGCAGCTGTCTGGTTAGGTAAAAGAACAGAGTTTTAATCCAGCCAATCACCAAGTCCATTACAAGTCAGGTCACAGGTCAGGTCACAGGTCAGGTCACAGGTCAGGTCACAGGTCAGGTCACAGGTCAGGTCACAGGTCAGGTCACAAGTATAGCCTGTCCGGGAATGAACATGGACAAAAGCATTCCTTCTCCACAATTTGTTTTTTTTTAATTACTGTATTAAAATTGCCTCTTGATTTGGGACTGGAGGAATTGTGATTGATTTGTAGGTGTTTGTTATTGACTTATGATGACAAACAATAATATAAACTCCGGGTAAGACCAATGAATTCTTTAACATATAACTAGCTGCTTCATTGGTGCAAAATGATTCAAGCTGGAGACACCAAGCCTGTATACGACCCATTTCAGCTTGATATTCAATGTGCACTGGGGGACCAGGTTGGTGTGGAGGCACCCCCCTCCACCCCCCCCTCTTCCTGTCCCCCCCCCCCAATAACATGTGTATTAGGTTCTCAGTCCCTACCTGATTTCATGGGTTTTCCTTGAAAATTTTGTCCAGGTTTTCCAGTCCCCTCTCTTTAACTGTCATTACTTCCTCAGTTTCTATCTCGGGACTCCGAGTTGTTTTAAAATCTCATCAAACTGTAGTATGATTGCACTCGAATCCTTTTTTTTTTTTGCGTCTCCAGCGACAGTACCACTGTATTTCTTTGACTTGGTGTCAACAGTGTACTATGGATTGATGTCAACATTGGTTTCACCTGATGAGCAAGGTATGCTTCTTTTTTTCGGAAGGATGGGAGCCGGGGAGGTGCTTTAGTTTTTGATTTGATCTCAACTTGTAAAGTCATGATTTTGAGAAATTCGACAAATATTGCAGGTATCTTTGAGGAATTTTTTTTATGGGGGGGGGGGGGATCGGTTGTGCCCAAATTTGGTTTCCCTGTAACGGGGTGCGATCACATGACGTCAAGGTACCACAAGACCATCCGGTTTGTCTTTGATTGGCCGCCAGTGCAGTAGGTAACGGTTTGCCTAGCAACCATGTCGTGTAGGGTGGCTGATTTTCAAATAAAACAAGCGCAAATTCTGTATCGAATGGGGTAATGGTCAGTACCTATGTCATGTACAGTTGTCATAAACATGCCAACCCGGCACTGGGCGTTGGCTCAGCGCTTTTTGTTTTAACTTAATTTTACAATTCATCACAGCCTTGAAGGCATGCCAACTACTTACTACGCACGGCGCTATATGATCTTTGCCTACTACAATGGCAAAGCTAAATTTCAGGTACCGGATGTAGGCCAGATCACGTCGGTCAGTGAGAGGGCCCTATTTTACTTTCTCATTGCTGCAGGACGAGCCTTGGCTCTGATGGACATCATGATCACTCTAGCACACCTGGCCTCGTCCGCTGTCTTTAACAATCTCTACCCGGCCACGCTGCATGTTTTCAGTGGAGCCGTCAGCTTCTTAGTCATGTGCGGTACCAACTTTGTACAGCTCGGCCTCTTTATGTAAGTTTGCTTTAAAAAAATTGTGATGCCGTTACTATTTTGTGTAAAAAAGGGAAACAACTCTTTCTATTGTCCACAAAAGGTTTTAACCTGCCTGTCGTTAAGGAGGAAAATGCCATTGTTTGTAGTCATTTATCTTTATTTCTTTATTTGCAGATGTGTGATTTTTCTGCAGAAAAACCGTCTCGCCTAGCCTAGCTAGTCTACTACGCCCGTCGCTTTCAGGAGTACTACATTATACCTCAT